TTAAGGAATATACTTTAAATCATAGGGGCCTTAATATTATGACTTGAAGTATATTCCTTAATTAAGGGGTATTGGGTTCTCTGGGTGTGTAGGGCATGAGGTTCAGGGAGAGGGGGGATGGCGTATACGTTTGGGGCTACAGGCTTTGGGGTTTCGGACCGCAGGCTGCAAGGGTTCCGCGGTTTTTTTTTGAGGTGCCGGGTTTTAGAGCTTCGTTTAGGGTCATACCTATAGTCTCCATTGTAGTTCTTTTTGGGGGATACCTTATAAAAGCCTTAATATAGATTGGTTAGGCCACAAAAGGAACTACAATGGAGACTATGGGAAAGGTTTAGAGTAGTCATCCAGGCTTGAAGTCCCACAACACATGCTTTGGGGTGTCGCGCCTTTGGTCCCGTGGGAGCTTGGGGAGCACCGTTTCGGGCCTAGGCTTTAGGCCCAGGGGGCTCCGTGCCTGCCAACACGGATGAGGCGAGCCTGAGCCGCTGTCAGGGTTTGCGAAGAATTTGGGAATGAAACCCGGAACTCGCCCCCAAAACCCTAGAGCCCCAACACCCTAAGTTGCAGGCAGCCGCTCTCTTGCGCCTGGTGGGCGCCTGCCTCTCCTCGCAGAACGATGGCGAGGCAAGTTTCACTTGTTTCGCTTAATAGGCTCCATATGCTTCATGCTGGCATTCCATGTAACACGTATCGGAATGTAGATTTTCGAGATGCGAAGCATCATCAATTACAAGCACAACCTCCGAAGGCAGGGGGCAAGTTGAGATCATGAGCAGGTATCAGTTTACAACGCGGAAGCACTTGTAGAAGCAAGCATTTACATGGAAGTGTATGGAACAAAAGACTTGTCGCAAAGTACAAATGGAATCAAGCCACAGAGAGTCAAGGCCTTGTCTGTGCTGAAGCGAGAGAGAGATCCCCACATGTCGGGGGCGCTAACGCACGCGGGTGAGGGGGGCTTGCCTCTCTTACCCCTAGCCCTGACGAAAGAAAAAAAATGAAAGAGCAAGAGAGAGAGACAGAGAGAGACAGACAGACCAGAGCGAGAAATGCAGACCACAGAAAGACTGAGGGAGAGAGCAAGAAAGAGAGAGAGAGAGAGAGAGATGCAGCTCTGGGCCAAGAGGAATAGAAACTCAGACGTGCACAGCATGCGGCTGCGCCTGTCGCATTTGGCAGGAGGGACACCCTGATTTCCAGTAAGAGCAAGACGAAATCCATGCGCACATCGTACTTCGAAGACGACAAATACAGTATAGCTTACTCAGCATGGTACGAGTAACAGTAGCCCTACCGATTTGAATAGAAGTCGTCCTGTGAAGAATCCGTAGAGCAGAAGCGGCACCTGCTCGTCCCTTTGCCAGCCCGCCAAAACAGGCACTCAAGTACGCCGAGCAGGCTGAAGCCAAGGCAGCTGGCCCAAGGGGTGTGTCCAGCTTTTCTTTTCAAAGCTTGTGGGCTCACCTAAACGACTGCGTGGAGATTTTCCCGAAGATGCATGTCCATTCTTCCCAGCTTCCGTCGTGATTTCGGCAGCAATTGTGTGTCGGATGGGCCCCGCGGCTTGGCTGAAGGAGGACGTGCCCGGCCGATGTGTATGAGTGTGGCGAGTTGCTGCGCCACCTGCACCCACAGAAGCCTGAAGACTGCTAGCCAAGAAAGCTCACCTTCGTGCACCTCACCTTGTACATTTCCATGCGTAAGACAGAATCTACAAGAAGCCAATCACCACCATATATAATACGTGGAAAGCCGTCTTGGCAATATCAGATCTGTAGCCAAGCGACTCTGTGCGAAGCCTTACATACTTATGCATTGGCTTTGCAACTTCAGCTCTGCCACAGCCATCATCAGCAGATCATTAAAACAGCAACCCTTGGCAAGGCTTAGACTAACACGCTCCGGACCTGCGCCTTTGCCAGGCCCGAGCGGCTGATGACATCGAGAAAGAGGCCCAAGCCAGCTACAACATCGCGGAGATCATGCTTCGGAGGCGGCGATCCCGGATGGTCATTACTTTCGTGAAGTACGGTTCTCACGTCACCAGAGGTTTCGATATCACCCGCGTGCAATTAAGCTGATGTTGCACCGGGGATGATACCCGTCATGACCGGCCCTACCCTCAAGCCATTCGCTTTGTACCCGGCTTTTGCTGCTGAGGGGCGACAAAACTGGCTCCATCAAGCGCTCGAAGGACCGACGCAAGGTCTGTAAGATTAAGAGGCCGGCGGCTGACACGAACTTCTATTCCTTTCGAGGCCGTGTTTGACGACGACGACTACAACACTAACTACTACGAGTACTAGTGCTGGTGCTAGTACTCTTTTACTGCGGCGACGCCGACCACTACAACAACAGCTGCTCCTACTACTAGCACTACTACTACTACTACTACTACTACTACTACTACTGCTACTACTACTACTACTAGTACTTCTACTTCTACTTCTACTTCTACTTCTACTTCTGCTTCTACTTCTACTTCTACTTCTACTTCTACTTCTACTTCTACTTCTACTTCTACTTCTACTTCTACTCCTACTCCTACTCCTACTACTACAACCACAACAACAGCAACAACAACTACAACTACAACTACAACTACAACTACTACTACTACTACTACTACTACTACGACTGCTACTACTGCCGGCATCACCACCAGTACAGCGACAAGGACGATCACAATCACAACCAAAACAACGACC